GAGGCGAGCGCGGTGCCAGCGGGGCGGCGCTCGGGGCTCTGCGCGGCGGAAGCGGCGGCGCCGGGCTGGGGGCAGGGATCGGGCTGGTATCGTGGGGCTGAGCATTGACAGGCCCTGGGCTTCCTTCGCTCCCATCATCTGTTCACTCACATCTCCCCTTGGCTGTCATGTTGGGAACTCCCGAATTCTCCTTCACTGTACTGGAAAGAAACACACTCATACGGATACAGGAGCTGGGCATAAAGACTCAGCATTTCTCTGTGTCCATGAAACCAAACTGATGCAGCACAGGAGAGAGCAGCTATTCCCTGGCCTGGAGCGTCCTGTCCGTGTTCTGTGTGCCTGTGTATCTGTGTTTAGAGCAGATAGAAAGCAGGGAGTGCACTTCAGTGCCTCTTCCCTGGACAAATCTCCTGCAGGCTGCTACATGGTTGGTCTACTGCACCCAGGCTCCTTCTGAGTCTGGAAATCAGGTGCGTGTGAAGCCCCTTCCCTTCCTCTTTCTCTTACAAAATGATCCCCATGACTAATATCACAGTGGAGGTTGTTTTATTCTGTGCTCGGTCCAGTCTCATGGCAAATTTATTTGGGGACATTGCGTATTAGATTAAAGCTGAGATGTAGCTGTAGGGGCTCTTGTTTAAGGAATTAGGAGAGAAACTCTCTGGACAAGTCTGCTATTTGCAGGGCAAGGAAGAAAGCTCCTTCCTGAGACTCCAGCTCCCAACTCAGGAATGATCTTGGTTGCTCTCATTCACCCCTGTGCTCTCTGCTTCTTGTCTGCTCCCTCTCCTGTGAGAACCCCGGCCTTGCTTTGGGGCCTCATGTGGTGGTGAAATTCCTTCTCCAACCCTTGCTTCCAAAGAAAAACTCCTCAGGCTTAGCTGTTCGGTCTCAAGGCAGTTTATTGCTATTTATCTAACAGATTATGTTCTTGGACTGCGGCTATTTGATCAGCGGCCTGGGTAGAGGCACACACACACCCTGACATCCTCTCTATCTGCTGTCTTCTTCGTCTCTCTCCCCACCCAGGGCGGCTGCTATCTTTTATAAGATATATTACGTATAACATGTTTACAATTGTTCCCCAATACCTACTACCTACGTTGCCAAGTGTTTTTCTACTCTAAACCAATCTGTGAGTGCCAACATCACCAAGAAAATGGAGGTAAGGAAAAAGAAGGAGGAAGAACAGGATCAGCCCACTTTCCTCCATCTTAGAACTTCTGACCTCCATGTACAAAGTGAAACCCCCCCTGTACATGTGTTAAAAATCCCCTGTACAATACTAAAAAAATTTCCCCTCTACTTTGCAACTACTTATACTATACTATCTAACCTTTGGTGATTGCTTGTTCCACCTCCAAAGTTGGTAATTCATTCCATGGCTCAAACTCAAAATCACAGCTGTTTTTCAGTTGTCTGCCAGGGTCTAGAATGCTTCAGACCAAGGCCTGGAACCTCTAAAAATGTCTGAGGGACATTTTGAATTCCCACACTCTCCCAGGTGCACTTTTCACTTGGAGCTGTGTCCTGCTACAGCCCGTGCTGGCCATGCCGGCCCTGCGGCCCCACCCCGCTGGCCAACAGCTGTAATGAGCCCTGTGTCAGGCAGTGCCAGGACTCCACCGTCGGCACTGAGCCCTCCCCTGTGCTGGTGACCCTGCCCGGCCCCATGCTCAGCTCCTTCCCACAGAACACCGGGCTGGGATCTTCCACCCCGGCTGCTGTTGGCAGCATCCTCAGCTGTGACCGAGTGCCCATCAGCTCTGGGGGCTGTGACCCGGCTGGAATTTCCAGGTGCTGCTATGGCACAAGGTCCCTGCCCTGAAGCAGATGCTGGGAAAGCCCCATGGAGACAGCTCAGGTTCCTCAGAACATGGTGCAGGGCAAAGGATGGACATTTCTTAGTGTTGGTCCCAGGACAGCTGCAAGGCTTTGCCTTTCCCTTTTCTTTGTTTGCTCTGTCTCCCCTTGGCAGTGCGGTGCCAGCAAGGGCAGCCTGGTGGGGCCCATCAGTCTCGTCTCCCTGTCAGGGGCAGGTAGACAGGCACCGTGTGGGAACCTCTGCAGTGCCAAGGAGGACGGACTCTCAGATGGCCCCGGGCTGCCAGCACTGCTGTTGTGCACTTGTGCTGAGTTTCTTTGTGTCTTTGTGCCCCATTAAATCTCTCTGCTGCATTCAGGCCTGGTCTCTCTGCAATCATTCCCCCCCTGCAGATGCTCTCCAAGCTGCCAAAGTAAAAGGGAGCCGAGCAAGGCTGGGGCCCCAGCAGACCTGCTCTTTAGAACCAGAGCAGTGATGCTGGGAGATGTGGTGGCTGGAGGCCGTGTTGGGCACAGCAACTATGAAATGGCGGGGTTTTAATTTCATGGAAATGAAGGGATATCATCAAAACCTCTACCCTGGACTTCCAGAGGATTGACTTCGGTCTGTCGAGGACACTGATTTGGAACATCCCTTGGGAAGCAGCCCTTGAAAAGAAACAGGCCGTGATGACTGGATGTGCTTTAAGAAAGAAATCTCAAAGGCACAGGAGCAGCCTGGACCTGTGTACAAACAGATATGGAGGTAGAGAAGAACTGCCTGCCTGAGAAGGGAGCATTCCCAGGAACTCCAGGAATTAAAAGATGTTTTATCACCTTTGGAAAAGGGCAGGCAGCTCAGGAAGAGTTGGACGATGTCATTAGGTCATTCAGAAAGAAAAGCAGAGAGGACAAATTTCAGTTAGAACTTGATCTGGCCAATTCTGTAAGGGGTAATTAGGAGTGTTTTTACATATACATTATCGAATACTGAGGATAATCACCATTCTCCATTGGTCACCATGGGGAATATATTCACCAAAGCCAAGGGGAACAACTGAGGTGCTTAACAGATTCTTTGCCTCAGTCTTCAAGGTTAGGATTGATGATCATCAGGAGAACTGGACTCCTGATCTGGGAGACAGGGAAGGTAAGCAGCATGGAACCCCTGTACGGCAAACACAAGGTAATAAAGATATGATAACACACTTAGATGCTCCAAAGTCCTTGGCATTGGAGGGATTTGTCCTATGGAGATCAGGCAGCTGTGTCACAACCTCATTAAGCCAGTGATGAGAAGAGGGGCAGAGGAAGGTGCAAGAGGCCATCTGAAGACCCTCACTCGTCTTCCAATTGCCACCAGAAAGAAACTCCCCTGCTCCAGTTCCAGCTTGGAGAAGGCAACAGTGCAGGTGCAGCCCCTGCACCCTCACACCAGCTGTTCCGGACCAGGCCTGTCAAGAACTTGGCAAGGAGTCGGCAAGGAGATGGTGACGATCCGACATGGAGCCAGCACAGGGCGGCAGCTGCAATGCCTACTTCATTTTCCATGTTTAAGCTGAATGAATTGTTGGGGTAGCTCTGGTGGTCTCTCACTGAAGACCCCTCATCTGCCTCATTACCCCTGTGACAGACAGAGTTCAAGAACCCTCTCCCCAAGGACTGAGACTGAGACCCCTACAACAGGGAATGAGGGAGAGAATGACATGACCTGTTCTGCTCCAGTAACTTCAATTGACTTATTCTTCATTGTGTTCATCCTGCCTGGATGATTTTCCGTAGATTCACCTGTTCACCCCACAGCAATTTCAACAGACTCTCATTGTTCTGCATGTTCCCCCCTTTTTCCTCTGTAGACTATAACTGCACCCCTGTATACAAGGACTTTGGAGACTCCCCCCAACACAACAAGACAGATCCTCATCGTCCAGACCAGTGAGCATCTCACCTTTGTTGGTAGCTACTCCCATCCCCCTCATTTCTCTCTCCCTCTCTATCCTTCTTATTTCTTTTCTGACCCCACTATCACATATATTGTTTTGGCCCCTAATAAATGTGCATTTGTTGTGATTAAACTGAAAGTCCCCTGCTGTTTTTCTTTTGCACTTTGGGATCAGGTAACGAACCATCACCACACCGCGCTATAAGCGGATCGTGACAGCA